CGGTCGCGGCAAGAAAACCTGCGGCTCAAGGCAATGCTGGAAGATCAGCTCAAGGTACTCGAAGCGCTCCAGCGTGTCATTGCCAAGAAGCCTCGGCTCTCGACGTTTCCGACCATGGCCGATGCGCAATGGAAGCACGGCGTCCTCGACGTCGTCGACCGCGAAGCCAGCCTCGAAGCACTCATGCAGCACCAGCTCGAGAAGCTCGAGACGGCGTGGATCCGGCATGGCTTGTTTGACGCGGTCGAGGCCAACGAAGCCGTGTTGCGCTCGCATGTCGAGACGAAAGGCCAAGAGGGCATGACGTTGCATTTCGTCCATTGTACGCGCATTCCTTTGGACTATGTTGCGATGGCCAATTTGACATGGGAGCACATGACAACCAAACTGCGCTCGAAACGTAGTGAGGTCCTCGAGGCCTACCATCCCGACCTCGTTTACGTCAAGTACGTGAACACAAATGGTATGTATCAATTTTACCACCTTCTTTTGTAGACATTTTGGGGACCTTCCCGACCCGACCATGCCGACACTCGAAGCGCGCGTGGTCTACCGCCGGTGGATCCAACCCGACCGCGTCATCATCGCGTGGTGCACAATCCTTGACGACAAGTTGCTGCCGCATTCCCGCGGCAACTTGGTCGAGAACCGTTTCGGATGGTAGGCGTTTCACAACAATATTGTACGTGTGGACAATGTGTCGTTGTTGATGCTAGGTCGGTCACGCACCGCAAGTCGACCGACGAGAGCATGCTGGCGGTCTACGGCACGATGACGACGCCAAGTATGCACGTGGACGACGCGTCGGCGCAGCCCGCCGTGGGCACGCTCACCGAGCTCCTCTTGCAAATGTCCAAGGAAAATGGCGAAAAATTCGGATCCCGAATCCGCGATGCCATCCTTGCATACAAGGCGACACAAAACGCACTGACAGAAGAATAATCCACGCTTTGACGCCAGAAAATCCGAAATTTCTAAACATTTTTGGCAGCGGGATGCGGCAACAACATGCTCGACGTGTCACTGTCTCGATGCAACAAGAGACATGGCCGTGGAGCAAGGGCGGCGTCGGGGTGCCGATTTCGAATGGCGTCTTGGACACGGGCACCAAAGCGCTCGCTGTTGGACGCGGTGAGCTGCAGAAGGAGCTCCGTGAGCGTCCCCGCAGCCGGCTGCATCGCTTCGATATCGGCGGGGAAGATGGGCAGCGCCACGTTCACGTAGACTGCCAAGTAGCACTCGTTGGGGCCTCTCGACGAGATGACCGACCTAGCGGAGATACCACTTAAGATCTAGAGAGCAGTGCGAGCAAGCTATTGTACCACGTAGCTCGGTTCTCGATCAAGTGACCTTGCGTGTGCGGGTACAAGCCATCGTCGACGATCGAGCGCGTCAGCAGTACGACGCGGTTGGGCTCGTTGAAGCGCCGGTGGGCGAGCCGCGACTCGAGAGTCGGAAGCTTCGCGTCGTGCAGCCGCATGTCATGACTATCCCACAATGCACGACATGAGTGCGCCACGAGATGCACCTCACTATACCGGACATAGCGCAGCTGCGGGTGAAATTCTTCGAGGAGCTACAAGCACGCTCGTTTGAGATGAATCAAGACAAGCCCTGCACCTGGCACGACGGCGCCAACTCGCTTGTCATAAGGTCCCAAAGGATGTCGCTGAGGGCCATAAACGGCAGCGAACACGGCGTCCCAAGGAGCGAGTTGAGGTGCATTGTACCACCGAACGCCAAGCTCTCAATGTTGATCTTGCGCATCGCGTCACCACTGTCGGTGCACTCAAAGAGGCCATGACGCACCCAGTGCGTTTCGAGTTTGTTGTACTGCGCCTGGAAGAGCGCCTCCAACGACGCTTCCCGATCCGAGAGACCTACGACCGCATCGTGCGCTGCGCGTCGAGGAAAAAGCGAGAGCCGCGGCCGCTTGATGAGGACGCGCTGCAGGGCTTGAACAAACTTGAGTTGGCTCTCGAGGAGCTCCCGCAGGCGTGCGTTTTCGTGCAGGGCACGCTGCACCGCGTGCTGTTGGTGTACTGCGCGCCGCTGCCACGAGGCGCTGTCTGATGTATCGTCGATGCTCATGGCTGCGCGCTGCTTGAGCCGCACGAGCTGCGTCGCGAGGGTGAGTTGCTTTTGAAGCAAGTAGGCGATCTCTTCCTTGGGCCCGTCGTGCGCGCGGCGTTTCTTTGTATGCGCAGGCGGTGGTAAGCCAAAGGCGGGCAGCTCGGCCAGAAAAGCCGAGAGATCATGGGCGTCCAAGTTGTCGTCGTCGACCACCTCGAGGACGTCGTCGCTGTCGTTGGCCGCGTGCATGGAGGCGCTCTCGTCGCTGTGCAGCGTCAAGACACAGTCGTCTGTCAAAAGCGCCAGAAGCGCCGCATCGTCAGCGCTGGTCATGTCAAGGATGAATGGTGAATGACGAGGATGATGATGATGCTACGCCTTGGTGGCGCGTTTCGTGTTTTCTCAGAGATGACCCGCCAAACAAATACACTCTTAACGGTGATCTCCAGTTTTTGTTGCTGCTTGCTCGACACGGCAAACGGACGATGGGAGCTGATAAATGTTGACAGTCATGTCGACTCGAAGACTCGCCAGCCACCATACAGTTCCTGTTTGATGGATATGCGAGTTCTAGTAAAAGTTTATACATGTACTCGAGCCCTACGAGAAAGTTGCCAGCGACTGTGTGCTGGACGAGGTTTGGGCCAAATCGGAAAATAGAGCACGTGTGGATATTGTTTTGTGGAATGAAGGTGGATTGAAGTGTGAGTGTTCGAGCTGGCCGTCACAAGGGGGAGTGCTGGGCCCTCAGAAACCAGCGACGAAGCGACCGCTGGCCTTTATAATCTCTCTAACATGTCTGCAAACTTCGACGGCACTCCTTGTCGCCTCTAGGGACGCTCGACCGTGCTTCGATCCCAGCCCCACCGATGTTGCCACGAGATGCCATTTCATTGGATAAAATACAATGCGTATATTCTAAATCCTCCAATCATTTTCTTTCTCTCTTTTCGTCCAATGAAATCCCGTGGCGTCAGATCTTATCCCAATCCCCCAGTTTGCACTTGCATGCATCATGCTGCGGACCTTCTACGGCGACGCTGCGCTCTCGGCCGACTGGACAGGCGAGTACGAGGAAAAGTCGGCGCAGTGGTTCGAGCTCTTCCTTGACCTCATCATGGTCGCCGCCTGCTCCAACGTGGCTGAGGGCCTCAAGGACGACCTAAGTCTCCGTGGCGCGGCGGCGTTCGTGCTGCTCTGTCTCATGTACGCCTCGTCGTGGCATCTCTACACGCACTTCAACGCGCGCTTCTCCGAGTCGTCGCTCTTGCATTATGGCTTTCTGTATGTGCTGCTCGTCGGGCTTGGCGGTATGGTGCTCGCGAGCGAGCCCGGCCGCGGGTTCACGATCGGCCTCGTCTGCATCCGCGCCGCGCTCCTCTGCATGAACCTCTCGGTGTTTTGGTCGCTGCCAAACGTGCGTGGAAAGGCAGGCGCTGACATGAGCATAAGCCTGCTCGCCATGACGCTCTTCGCCTTTGCGCTGTATGTCGACCACCCGACGGTGACGATTGGCGTGTACCTCGCGTCGCTCTTCCTCGAGACGTTAGGAGGTGTCACACTCGTGCGCTTTGCCAAGCGACCTGATATGTACGTGGCCATGAACATCGACCACGTCGACGATCGCGAAGGCTGTCTCGTCATGGTGGCACTCGGCGAGTCGGTCGTGAGCACGGTCATCAACAGCCGCGGCACGGACCTCCCATCAGCCTACTACGTCGCCATGGCGCTCTCGCTCCTCATCATCTTTTCTCTCGCCATCTTTACTTTGCGGCCAAGCCGCAACGCGAGATGCATGCGATGCGGCGGTCGATTACGACCGGGTTCACCTACTCGATGCTGCACTACCTGCTCTTGCCGACGCTGCTGGCGATCGGTGTTGGCACCAAGCTCGTCTCGGAGGCGGTGCGCCATAACCAAGAGCTCGCGCCAACGTCGATCTGGGTCTTGTTCGGGTCGATTTCGCTGGCGCTTTGCATCATGCTTTTGGTGCGGCTCTTGCACTATGGCGGGCGCCAGCCGGCACCGACCGATCCGTTGCTTGTCCAGCGCATCAAGTACGTGTGGTGGGGCGTCTGCGCGCTATCGCCCATCTGTCCGCCGGTCGTGGCCTATATTTTACAGGCCGTCGCTACTGACGGCGGCGTCGACCCGATCACAGCACTGGCCTGCGCTGCCGCCATCATCCTCTCGTGGCTCGTGAGTGAGACCGCCGTCATGCACAGCCTCCGCGCACTCGGGTATGGCTACTCGGACGCCCTTCATGAGACAACAACCCACGAGTCCCGCGCACCGCTGCTGGTTGTCAAGCACTAGATCCACAAGATTGGTAGTTTTAGTACATTTGTGTCTGGCGTCGAGTGATGGCGCCCCATGTTGTCGGCGGGTCTGTATCCCATCCAACGCTTGGTCCAGAACAAGGGTTGTAGCATCCCGATGCAAACCTTGTGACTAGGATGGATTCTAACAATGGATTCGAACACCATCCAATCCACGTCAGCGCTACGACAAAAACAAACCATGCTACTGGAAGGATTGCACGTACACTTATCGTCTACAAGTGTATTTGTGGTCTACAAGTTGTCGACCACACTTTCCATCAAAATGCTATTTTTGTCCAGCAACGTGTTACGATGTGCATTACTTCAAAAGGAGCGACTTGGACGACGCCTTCATTGGCGGCGCGCGACTCGCTTTCTTGGCAAGGACGTGGCGGCGTCGCGTCTGGAGCCACTTGAAGCAGAGCCGATTCGCATACCGTGCACACGCAAAGAACGCAGCGTAAGGGTCTTCGCTCGTTTCGGTCGGGTACAGGCGGCGAAAGTGCCCGAGACGGTCCATCTCGTCTTCCATACTATGGACAATGTCCCAGTCGTCGTCGCAGAAAAGGGCAATGTGGCTCGCGTCGAGTTGCGTGATCTTGGGGTCGTGCACGATATCAAACAGCTTGCGCGACGACGTGCTCGGTGGTTTCTTCTTTTCGCGCCCCATCGCTGCATGTGGCGCTTCGTGGCCCACGAGATGAAAAATATCGCTCATGAGGAGGCCCTTGATGCGCTTATCGAGCGGCGACGACCCCATAAGGGACGGCGACACGTTCACTTCAATGAGCCACGGCTCCAGCGTCGCGTCGAGCATCAAGTCAAAGCCAAAGAGCTCGTAGCACGCGTGGCGGTGCTTGACGTACGTCTGCGTCAAGGGTGCAATGTGCGCTTCGGCGGCAATGATGGTCTTGCAAATGATCGCATGGAGCTTGCCTTGCAACGTTGCAACGTCCTTGCCGTCGCTCTACCACACATATTGAGAGGTAGGGTGGGGCAAGGGTACCGACTTCAAGGTGCGCAAGCAGCGCCGTGAGGCTCCACTTGCTGCCGTCGGTCGACGTCGGGCCACTCGATGCTTTAAAGCGCTCGTTGTTCTTGTTGATGCTAAAGTTGGTCAAGTGCATGAGCCGGTTCTTGAGGTGGGCCGCCTCCGTGTCGTAGGGCACCGTGCAAAAGCGCGCGAGGCCTTCCTCAAAGAGGTAGATGCGAAGCGGGTCAAAGCACGTGACGACGACGTAGATGCGCAAGTCAAACTTGTAGCCGTGGATCAAATACGGCGACGAGAGGTACCGCTGGACAACCCACTTGCGTTTTTTCTTGAGCTGCTTTTCGAGCTACCAGTTTCAGCATTTGAAAGAAATCACTACACATCTTCCATGGCGTGCGGTACCTGGGACGAGTGAACGACCTTGATGCCACGACCGCACGCCGACGCCGGCGGTTTAAAGATCCACATGGACGGTCCGGTCTCACGGTCCAGACAGCGCATGAACGCATCGAGCTGTCCGGGCAGCAAGAACCCTTCGGGCACAAAGCTGTACGCCGCCGGAAACGTCCGCTTCATGGCGCTAATGGTCTTCATGAGCCGATCTTTCCGGCCAATGACCCACGGATCGGGAAAGTGGTTGATTTTCTGGTGGGCTTGCAGCGCCTTGAACGCGGTCCGAGGCAAGTGCTTGATCCACGCCCCCGTCCACTTCTTTCCTTTGAGAAGCCGGCGAAAGCCCGCACGCACAAATGCGTTCTTGACGCAGTTGCGCTCCCAGTAGCACTTGAAAAAGACAATGTTTGCCTCGGCCGGGGCGTCGCTCGTGTTGACACCCGCTGGATACGTTCGCTCGACGTGTAAATCCAGCGGGTAGTCAAAACAAATAGTGGGGGTGCGATTGGGGAAACGACTGTGCTGGAGCTTGAGTGTGCGGGGGCGCCCCCCGGTCGGCTGCTGCAATGGCTCTTCGTCGTCGTCGTCCTCTTCCTCGCCTTGGTTGATGGTATCATCGTCACCGTCACCGTCGTCGTCGTCCAGAGCGTCCTCGGACGGTTCGCCATCGATGCTGTCGTCGTCGCCCGGTGTGTCTTCTTCGGGGGCGACCGCTAGAACATGTGCATAAGGAAACAATGGATTGACACACTCGCAAGGCCGCACCACTCGTGGCGGCTGGTGATGAGGCTTCGAGCTTGAGGCGAGAGAGCTCGAGTCGCTCCCGAAGCCCCAGCCGTGTGCTCATGCGAACCAAAGGACACGACCGTTTCACGCTGTGGAATACCAAATTTAACGATTGCATGCTTTTTGTTTCGTTAGATTCCACGTGGTCGACTCCATGTGCACGCATTTGTTTAATTGTGCAGATATCTTTTGCAGATACCCTTTCGAGGTGACTCGGTCGGTTTGGCATACTACGAGCATATACAGTATCACTTCTTGGTGGGCGTTCAGTGCAGGATAGGCAGCGTTCAGCATAAAGCTCAGTTGTTCGTTTGTGGCAATGATCATATCAAGCGCTTGGGTCCTAGAACGCTACCCCACGGAAAAACCCATGTGGGGGGAGGTTGTCCAGGGTTCAAGCCGCAGCTCCAACGACGCAATATGGTCGGCTTTTACGTGTGGTTCCATTTCGTTGCTGAGTGATTTCATCGAAATTCTGGCAAGGAGCATTGGCGATACTCGGCACGCCATGGTGGGGATGTGCCGCATCAGTCCACCCGCCTCCAATGTCTGGGGAAAGACCGCCATCGTGATACCAGTGCACGTCACAAGGGCACTGGGAGCTGAGCACGACATGTACTATCTCTCGTAGTACTGCACAACCCAACGTCGTTGTCGTTGTGACCTCGAATGCACCGAGGCGCGTGTCGCTTGGACCCGTCGCTCTTTATTGCCAACGTCCTTGAAGTGCCCCGTCTAGTCGACACGCTGCATTTCTAAATCAAAAGATTCAGCCAGAAACTAGGTCTCAATTTAGTACTTTGGCTCAAGTCAATCGCCCTGTCTTCCAGAAGGATAAGTGCACATCCACCGAAACGAATGGCGATCCTGGGGCGTGCAGGTGGTGATGCTCCGACCCGACGACGCCAATGTGATGTGGCCGACCGATGGGTATTTTAGAAAGGCCATTTGGACCACGGAACGTCGCGGCCACATCTCTGAGCCGCACATCCTTTCGCCAGCCAGTACACATGGGTGGCATCGCGCTTGATCTTCGAGCTCCGCACGGCTACTCGTCATCCACCTCTGCCTTCTGGCATACCAGCCAGATTCATGCAAACTAGAAATATCGATTTCTCGTTCGCCTATCTGGATCAAGAATAGTGTCGACAACATTCTGACATCGTGATGATGGACACGCTACAGGACACGACGCATTGCGATGCAATAGAAACCGAATGCAACGGCAAGAGCGTGGAGGATGCGCACCCATCCAGCGTCACTGTGTGGACTTGATCTGGTGCGATTACACGAGCGGAAGGGCAACCAGATGGTTTGGCAAGCGTATCACCTTGTATTGATGTGGCGCCTCGATCAACGCGGAACGCGTTGGCTTCTTCAGTTTATAAAATGTCGTCCAGCGCGCAAAAGAACGGGTGCTCACCAAGGTGCAGCTCGAGACGAACCGGGTGCGCTCGAAAAAGTACTATGAAGACAACCGCGACTCGGTCTTGGCCAAGCTCCGGTTGCACTACATTGAAAACCGCGAGAAAGAGCGGCAGCGGCAGCGTGAAAAGTACCTCCGCATCAAGGCGCGCAAGCGCGCGGCGGAAGAAGCGACCAAGACGCTCGCATCGCTCCCTTGCAACCCGCTCAGCATCGCGTTCCTGCTCAACTGACGAGAGCATCGATCGAGTCGAGCTTAGTATTTATCATCGCTTCGAGCTAGCAGCGTGCTGTCGTCGTGTCAATAAAAAAGGTCACAAGTGCTTTCGGCCCTTTACTCCAACTCGGTGTTTTTTACACTTTTGGTTGTTGGCCAGCACGTTGCAGCTTGGCCAAAGGAGTTTTCAAGACCTCGTTGGTTGCCATGGAATGACCGCAACAGAAAAGGAGCACCACCGGGTATCGAACTTTGTAGCAACTGACGGTGCCTTAAAGTCCAAGTCGCTAGAGGATAGCGAGACGAGCCACTCGGGCGGATCCAGTGTGGAGCACTTGCCTTTCGCGTCTATGTCGTAGAACGAAGGTGCACAAAAGGCAGACACGACGCGGCTCGTGCTGGCGTCGTCGATACTGTCGTCCGACACGACGACGTATATTACATACATTTGCGGTACTATGTCGTCGCGAGCAAGGACATTCGTTCACGACTCGAAGCACTCTGAACGTTGGTGCCTTGAACCTTGAGTCGTTCGCATGTTTTTCACCCTCCCAGACTCAAAGGCGGGGAGTCCGCCAATCGCTGTTCGGGTGCCGAGGCCTGACCTCGTCGACTCCGTGGCGTCTGTCACTGGCGGACTACTCGCCGTTTTGGTAGCCAATTTGCCTAGAAAGCGCGTGAATTTCGAGAAGGGATGCCTCTATAGTTAGGTATCGACGATAAACTACATGTACTTTACTTACCTCTGAACGACGTCGTTCCAGTGCAGACCGTGCGGCTGGCTGGTGGTGCATACAAGGTAACCGCACGTTTGCACCACTATTGCTCGGCAAACCACCAAGGCTACGTCACCAAGTGTTGTGCACTGCTTCATAGTTGCTATTGTCGACTGCTTGAGCAAACAGTAAAGCGATTCGACATGGACGACGTCCATCGCAGCTGCAAGCCTATCATATCATGTTGTGGGATGCTCTTTCTGAAGCAGATGGCGGCGCTTCCTCATTGTTGCGGCGGCGAATCTTTGGTGACACCTCCGACGATTCATTGAATACGTCGACGCTACAAGTGCATTCCGTCTCTGGAGCGGGGCAGCGAGCCATATTGCGTCAGTCGGCTGCGTTCGGTGCTTCGTCGCATCGACAGGGTTTATTGTTTATCCGGATACTGAAAAGGAATTACCTTGTTCAGTACCATGACAACTTTGTATGATGCATACGAGGGGCAGCATGAGGCACCATGTTGTCGCACGACGACGACAGCCACACACACCTTTAGTGCGTGGCCATCCATATTAATAGGGTCTGGGTTTCCAGCTTCTTAATGGGCGACGCGCCAAGGACTGAGCGAAAGCGAGTGCGACAGTGGTGTACCCATCATCCTTGACACGCCCGCGCTTCGTCCCAGCTTCGCCTACGCGAGAAGCTTGCCACCACTCGGTAGTCGAAGCCGTAGATTGTCAAGACGTTGAAGCCACATGGACATAGTCTCGCGTGTCCATTCGCCGCCGCCACCATGCAGCGCTGGCCGTCCCACCGGTAGACTCGAACGCCTAAACCATCGTAGCGGTCACGATCTGCTCATTCCGCTTGGTATAACGTCAGCAAGGCCAAGATCTATCGATCACACACAGTACAAGCCTACTACTGCAACTCGTACGCAACTACAGATATGCAAGATTTGCGACCATGGCACCCAATGTCTTCTTTTGCCCCTCCACGGATCGATCGCGAGCATGCATGCGTGGTTGCAATCGCAGCTTGTCTAGGGACGTGATGCACAGTATGGCGCATGGCGCAGCTGCAGTCGGTCCGCGCCGTGCAGCCTGGTGCGTAGCGTCATAATGGAAAATTCGATGCGACAGGGCGTCGCGACTCGAGGGACACGTTGATTGGTGCTGTACTTTATAGGCGAATCCACATCCGGCCAATACAGGATATTCCATTTTGCAAGAGCATGGCCGGCTACATGGGGATCACGTCGCCACGCAATGGACTCACGAAGCGGTACCTGACGATTCCTGTCGTCAACACGAACGAGGTCGGGCCGAGCTTCCTGTACCCGACCAAGGACTGCGGCTACGAGGACGTGACCGCGCCGGCCGACGACCTCAACGCGATCCGCGACAAGCTCAACAAGCCCAAGCACCTTCTGAGCGAGTGGCCGGCGACTGCCATCTCGGGTAACGACCTCTTGGGCTCGGTCCTCTACTCGGCCGGCATCGTCGCCAGCAAGGCCGGCTGCCTCTCGCCCATCTGCATGGCCATGGTCTCGCTCGTCCTGTACCTCTTTCGGTTCATTTACGAAGAAGTCGTGACCGCGATTCCGATGAACGGCGGGTCGTACAACTGCCTCTTGAACGCGACCTCCAAGCGCGTCGCGGCCGTCGCGGCCTGTCTGAGCATCCTCGCGTACCTCGCGACGGCCGTCGTCTCGGCCACATCGGCGTGCTACTACCTCCAGACGCAGGTACTGCATCTTCCTATGTGTAGTACGCGTCTCATTTGATGACATGCATTAGGTGCCCGGTCTGCCCGTGCTCGGCACGTCCATTGCGCTCCTCGGTCTTTTTGGCCTTTTGAACATCATTGGCATCTCCGAGTCGTCGATCGTGGCGCTTGTAATTTTCAGCCTCCATGCGCTGACGCTGACGGTGGTTGCCGTCGCCAGCCTCATCTTTATGGTAGTCCCTTCCATGAAAAGTGCTGGGAATGATGCATAAATCGACCTAGATCCACCACCCAGACGTGATCCAAGCCAACTACCGTCGACCATTCCCCGACGTCGACTTTGTCGGGAGTATTGTCTCTGGCAATTTCATGACCGCGCTCTTCTTCGGCTTTTCGGCGTCGATGCTCGGCGTGACGGGGTTTGAAACCTCGGCCAACTTTGTCGAAGAGCAAAAGCCCGGCGTGTTTCGCAAGACGATGCGGGTACACACTTTCTATCTGCTGTCCTCTTGTAGACTCGTATGACAATATATTGCTCTAGAACATGTGGGCACTCGCGTCGGTCTACAATATCTCGCTCGCCATTTTGAGTCTTGGCGTGCTTCCGATCGACGTCATGATGGCCAACCCGAGCGTCGTGCTGGCGCAAATGGGTCTCGCGGCTGGCGGCCACTGGCTCCAGCTCTGGGTCGCAATTGATGCGTTCATTGTGCTCTCGGCTGGCGTTCTCACGGGCTACGTGGGCATCACAGGTCTGTATTTCTGTCTCCCTTTTCGTCCAATACTTGATACATTGATACATTTTGACGCTTTTTTTTTCGTAGGGCTCATTCGCCGCTTGAGCAACGACCGCGTCATGCCCGAGTTTCTCAGCTACGAAAACAAGTGGCGCCACACGCCGCACAACATTTCGATGTCTTTTTTTGTCATTGGGTCGAGTCTCATCCTGGCGCTCGACGCCGACGCGACCATGCTCGGCAACGTCTTTACATTTGCGTTTCTCTCGATGATGTTTCTCTTTGGCTTTGGCTGCATCATGCTCAAGCTCAAGCGCCAAGACATTCCGCGCGCCGTCCACGCGCCGTGGTGGACGTGCATCCTTGGTTGTACGCTGGTCGTGCTCGGCTACTTTGGGTCGCTCCTCGGAGACCCGAAAGTCTTGCTGGTGTTCTTTCTCTACTTTATGATCATTGCGGCCGTCGTCTTCTCGATGCTCGAGCGCATGATGGTGCTTCGGTGCCTCATCTTTCTCGTGCACATGGTGTGCGGCAAGGAGGCGCCGGTGGAGACGGATCCGATCGCGGACGTCGAAGCCAATGTCCTTCCCCGCGTCCAGCACCACGACACGGACGACGATCGCAGCAGTCAAGTGACGACCAAGCACAAGTTTTACGAGCACGATACGCACCGCGTCGCGCTGCTTACGCGGACCATCAAGCGCATCAACTCGCGGCCCATGGTGTTTTTTGTCAAGGAGAACAACCTCGTCCTCATCAACAAGGCCATTTTGTACGTCCGGAGCAACGAGATCACGCACTACATGCGGTTCTTCCACGTGTATGCGACCGACGATGCGGCGACGCGCGCCCACATCGCCGAGCTCCGGGATATCATCACGCTGTTTGACGGTGTGTACCCCAAACTCCACTTGGACTTTGTCTCGGTGCACGGGCATTTTGATCCGGCGACGATTCTCTGGATTGCGGACGAGTACAAAATCCCGACCAACTTTATGTTTATCAAGCAACCGAGCAACATTGCAGTCCACAAGGTCTCGTCGCTCGGCGTCCGCGTCATTACGGGTTAAGACCAAGTAGACACGACTTGAAACGTAATTCGCTCTGATGCGACGTCGTCTTACTAGTAACGTTATGTGGAGCACTCGACTGACTTGTGTACTCTGGGCTAACGATACGAGTACAGTGTGGGTACAGTCGGCGGTCTAGACTTAAACGACAAAGCCAACGCCATCGATGTGGCCGACGTCACCACTTGGAAGCGCAATGTCAACAGCTTCTCGGGCACGAGCAGAAGTTGCAAAATGGGCTTGGGGTGCGCCTCTTCGGGGATCCACTGCATCTCCATACTACGACGGCGGACAAGATACGCGAGAGCGAGGTAGATTTCGGTCTCGGCCAAGCGACGCCCAATGCAGCCAAGCCCACTGCAACTAGCCCACTGCAACTAGCCCACTGCAACTAGCCGATCGTACGCGCTGGGACGTGTTCTTACTCCTGACTCAGGTCACGGTAATAAAATACTACACTGAGTGTCTGTCGGCAGTTCTTGCACCAGCCTGTGCCACACGTTGTGCGCATCTTCACCGAGCGACTTTGTCGAACGACAGTGCATGTCAAACACATGCAGTGGGTAGAGCGTAGTACTACGGCAGAGAGGACACGTAGGAGATGGGCGGTACCAACGCATCCGAGGAGCTCCAAGATGCAGCCGTGTAATAAACCTCCTCAACGAATCCGAATGCGATGGGGAGTTGCACTTTTTATCAAGGCGCTTGCACTGTTAACCTGGTATGCCATGCTCATAACGTCAATAAGATATGGTCTACGATGTCCTGCTCGGTATTGCTGCTGTCAGTGCCGCTG